TAGCTACTTAGGAGGCTGAGGCAGGAGGATTGCTTGAGCCCAAGAGTTTGAGGTTGCTGTGAGCTGTAACTCCATAGCACTCTAGCCTGTAGCAACAGAGTGAGACTCTATCAAAAACAGTATTCTTATATCCAGATAGATTATTTTTTAAGATTCTTTGTCTTGGGCAAAAAGACTACAGTCATTTTTAGTCCCATATTTTCTTTCAATAAGAAAGACCTAAAAAGTTTTTAGTTCCATCAAGGTCTTTTAGCCTGTATGTGAAAATAAACTTACTCCCTCTTGGTTTATCCTTTTCAGCATAAATGTCATGAAACAGCTTATTGGTTCATCTAACTTGTTTGTGATGCAGGTGGAAATGGATGTATACACAGCTCTAAAAAAGGTACTGACATCTGTGCAACATTGCTTGTAATTGTAAAAAATTGGAAATAGCTAGTGTCCAGTGATAACTAGATGGTTATAAATGTAGGAAAAGGAAGTATGCCAAAATGTTTTTTAAAAGTCTTTATATTTAGGAATTTGGTATCTTTAGTTATTTAACTTTCTTCTTTATACTTTACCAACTTAGGAACACTTTTTTCCCAGATGTTTTTCAACAACAAACATGTTGTTATTTACAGAATCAGAAATGTTTTATGTAAAGGATATTGGTTAAATGTTTTATATGGTTTCCAGGAATGTTTTGTAGGTTGAGCTTCAGTTAAAGCTTTGCTTTATTATTATTATTTTTTTTTTGAGACAGCCTCCAGCTATCACCCTGGGTGCTGTGCTGTGGCATCACAGCTCACAGCAACCTCCAACTCTTGGGCTTAAGCTATTCTCCTGCGTCTGCCTCCCAGGTAGCCTGCCACAACACCTGGCGATTTTTTGGTTGCAGCCATCATTGTTGTTTGGTGGGCCCAGGCTGGATTCAAACGCGCCAGCTCAGTTGTATGTGGCTGGTGCCTTAGCTGCTTGAGCCACAAGTGCCAAACCAAAGTTTTGCTTTTATAATGAAATTTTTATATATACTTTTCCTCAAAAATGTTGAAATTTTTCTTTTAAAGGCCTGTTTGCACATCAAGCATGTTTTACTTCATCCCATTGAAAGGTTTTGACATTTTTAGGTCTAGTTTTAGTTTCACAACTCTTTGAAGAGACAAATCAGCTATTCTTTCATGGTAGATGGTGATGCTCAAAATCCTTGCAGTTACTAAGTGGCAGGCTTGAGGCAGAAACTAGGTTTTATGAGTCCTGCTGCATTGCTTTCTTCCTTAATTTTGCCTTTAGCTTTTTTTTGTCCCCAGAATAGACAAATGTCTGCATTTAACATGGCTGTATACCTAGCTTATATCATTGTGATTGTTTTTATGGTAGAGGTAAGATTCCATTACTATTTTTCTTCAATGAAGTTTAGTATCTGAACTATTCGATCTTTAAAGGAGGGTAGGGAGTCCATTTCTATGTCTAACTTACAATAGCATTTATTCTTTCATGCTGTTTTAATGCTTTTATGCCAGTAATGATAAATGCTATACCTATACACAGTACCTTGCACCATTCTAAATACTTATTCTTTTAATGCTCTATGAGGTAGACATATTATGCTCATTTTACAAATGAAGAAATTAAGGTCGAGAGAAATTAGGGAGTTTGCCCTACTGTTAATTGGCAGGTCCATTAAAAGTCCGTGCTCTTAAACTACGCTACATATTGTCTCAACAGAAATAAGACAAACTCCTTCTTCCCACGTTTAATTTCTTACTCTTAAAATGTCACATAGTGGCTTAGCTCCTGTGGCTCAAGTGGCTAAGGTGCCAGCCACATACACCTAAGGTGGTGGGTTCAAATCCAGTACAGGCC